AGCCAGAGCCCTTGGCTTTCTGTTTTCTGAGATGTTGAGTCATTTCCTCTCTCCAGCTCTCACCTTTGAGCCTTCCTTTTCCCTTCTCTGGAGAAGTGACTCACTGCTAAAGTGTTGGGTGACACTGAGGATCAAGGATGAGCGATAAAAATACTCCTGATTGTGCAACTCGAGGAAGGGGGATGCAGTTTGGACTGAGAATTCAACGTGTGGGCCATGAACTCTGAGGCTGGGGTGTTAACAATGGCCACGGCTTCATCTCTTTGGGGAAGTGGAGCAGAGAATGGAGTTTAAACAGGAATTCACCCGTGCTGGACTTGCTGTGGAGCCCCTTGTCCTGCCCTTTCAAATGTGTACTTCTGAGAAACGCACATAAAGGCAGGCACTTAGCAAGACAAACGTGGATTACAGAGGCCTGGGCCCTTCCTCCCTTCAGCCCTGCGGGGCCTGGCTGGGGCCCTGAGAGCAGAGCTGTTTCTCTCTGGGTTCTCTCTCCAGTGAAAACAGCCGTACTTCCCCAGCGTGGGAGTGGTGAGGGAAGCCAATGTGACAGACGCAGGCTCCAGGCTGGCTGCTGCCCTGATGCACTAGATCCCTTAGAGCAGGGTTACCCAAGACTGCCCTGGGAGCAAGCAGCCATAGCAACAGCCCAGCTGTTTTCCCAGATGGAAACTCACCTTCCTTCACTCATTTCACTGGAGGCAAACTAGAAATATTCTTCTTCTAATTAATCTTCATGGGCCTCATAGGTTGAGCAAAACAAAACACAATTTTCTCTAAAGGATGACTCCCTGGCCAGGTCACAAGCTATTCAAGATGGGAACAGAGGCAGCAAAGTCATCCCATCCAAAAGGCCAAACAGATGGGAACAGAGACACTCCTAAAAGTGGAGAGAAATGTATGTGTCTACTTGTGTGTGTGTTGTGGGGAGGGTGCAGCTGAGAATGTCACAACAGGAGAATTCATGCTACAACACTTTAATTCTCCAGAAAATTAAGGCAAAAAGAAAAAAAAAGGCCTTATAGGTGCTGGTGCAATTCCAGAAGACCGAGAAACTTGGCTCAGCAATGATGGTTAGTTTGCTTTTTAAAGGTGCCTCAACTAAAAAGTGCTTCTCCCACAGTCATGAACCTTCCCCGCGAACATGTGTACATACATGCATGAGCCCTGCTCCTCTTTGGGAGGGTATGCGACCCAGAGAGCTCCCCAAGGTCCCCCAAGCTGAGTCCATGAGTCACTGGCAGAGGGAGGAGGAGGTCCTGGTACACCGATGCAGGTTCCCAGCATCAGAGCAATAGTTTATAGAAATGCAAACCTTTCCATGTGATGCACCTGACCACGCATGGCCTCCAAGTCACTGTGGAGAGGCTGGGGAGCAAAGGCCAGACTCTGTAGAACAGTCCATGTCTAACCAGGCAACCTCAGATAGAGAGGATGCCCAGTGACCGCCACCCCCACCCCCAGGTCCTTACAAATGTTGGCAGGCGCAGTCCTTAAGCCAGGCTCCCAGTGGCACAAAGGAATTGCTTCCCATGCTTCCCAAACTCACCCAGGCAGGCAGTGGGAAGGGAGGCGCCAGCAAGCCGAAGGAGGCTTTTCTCAACTGATCATCTTGGGAAAAGCCAGATACAAATTTCACGGCTGGAATGTAAGGGTTGTGAAATGCTGGAAGAAGCCCCAAAGAGGGCCAAAGACTCTCCTTCCAGGAAGGCAGTGGGAGGAGGGCTGGTAAGGGCGAGTGAGAGAGAAGCAGGTTACCCAGCGGGGCCTGCCTTTCTGGGAAGCAGGAAGTAAGGCCTCAAGAAAGATAGAAAGAAATCCCCTAGCCCTGAGGTGGTGGAGGGGCTGGAGATAGGGTTCGTTTTGTTTCTGAACATGAGGAAAACAAGGCTTTGTGTCAAAAAGTAATTCTGGTATAAATGAGCCAATTATGAAACAGCTTGTTTTCTCTGGGATTTGGAAGCACTGAGGCTGACAGTATGTCCTTCCCTAGAGTTAAATACACACAGTGAGCTTCTAACATAGGACTTTAGCCTTGTCCTCGGTGTCATGTCAGAGGTCTCCATTCATGCTCCAACTAGTTAGATGAGGCCCATCAGTGAGGCCTATTACTACCTCAGAGACACACAGTCACACAGACACACAGTCCAGTGTGTCCCTCACGGGGTCCCTGAGAATGGGGTAAGAAGACCACACCAGGTTAATGGCTGACGGACTGCCCTAAGCTCTACCCTTTTCTAACCTTGGCCAAGTTACTTTCTAGCCTCTCTGCACCTCAGTTTCCTCATCTATAAAAGGGGGATAATAAGATTATCTATTCATTCACAGAGCGACCATGAGGATGAATTAAATTAATATGGAATAAAGTACCTGGAACATTCCCTGGCACATGTTAAGCACCATATAAGTGTTAGTTGCTGTTGAGTTGTGAAAAGAGCAAGTGCCTGACTCTCCCAACTAGGCCAGAGCCCAGCTCTAACGCCCAGGTTCCATCAGCCCTTCTGAACCTCTGGTCTATCTCCATAGCCTCTTCAGACCACGTGTGGACCCATGAAGACCCATGCATCAGAGCGCCCCAGCCCAGAAAGCCTGACTAAAGGAAAATCAGACACAAAGACATAATAAGGCCCGCGCTGGATGCTCCCTGATAGGGAGAGAGCAAACACAGATGACAGCACATTGTGGGTCGGCTTTCTTAGTCGCAATCCATGTGGTTTATCTGAAATGGGGTCAGGTCCCAGAGTGGGCAGCACAGATATTACAATTGTGCTTGCTAATCTGAACTGAGTCCATCGTCATCGATCCTGAGATAACAGGGAGCTGGAGTCTTGAGACTTGAGGGGTGTGTTGGAAAATGTTCTGGGCAAAGGGGGAGGAACCATTTCTCAACCAGTTGCTAACCAGCACCGAGCACCTCAGAGGAGACATTCTGATTCCCCCCAGACTGCAGATTCTGGCACCTTGGAGACGTGACTGGGTACTTGAGCTGCAGGGAGGGGAGACGACCCGGGAGGGCTGGCAGCTCTGATCTATTCCCACCTATCTCTCTGTAGCTCAGCCAACTCAGGCCAAAGGGTGGAGGCTGCAGCCTCTGCCTTGTGACTAAAGATAGCTCGTGGACCAGATCTGATGCCCCACTGCCCAGTTAGAGGGTAGGCTGAGTCTGGGCTGTATGTGTGCATCCAGGAACCCAGAGCCTTGTGCACCCTTACAATGTCTGGGAGGTGTAGCAGCTAGAAGTATGCCCAAGACAGTGGGTGAGACCTCAGGCCCTTCCCAGATATACAAGAGTGCTGGCAAGTGAGGTGTCTCTCCGCAGGAGCCCCTGCCCTTCTGCCCAGAAACCTGGACCTTCCAGAGGTGGGAGGACCATCTGGACTGAAATTGTCTATAAGTTATAGGGCAATCTGCTTGAGCCTTTAAGCCTTCAAGTACCTCCCGGCCTTCTACCAGTACCAATGGGGCCCAGAAGAAGAAGCCAAGCTCAGGGCATGGGAAGGAGTGTGGCCTTGGGACAGGGTCCAGAGTCACAGGTGGAGAGTTTCCAGATGCCCCATGACCCAGCCTGGCCATCTGCTGCTGCCAGGGCAAGATCATGGTGCCTTAAGCCATCTACTTCAAGGCAGCTGGCTGGAGAAACCCATTGTTTGAGTTGAAAGCTGCTCGAAGATGGCCATGGAGGTTTCTCTAGGCTCTTGCCAAAGAGCTCAACTCTCATGGCTTCTGATAGCAGATTCTCTAGGGAGCCATCTTGGGCAGCCGGAATAATTCTCCCTTCTCCACAATCTGCTCCCAGGTTGCAGCCTCAACTTTACCCAACCAGGACGCCCCTGTCTCATCCCGGTCAGCTCCTTCCCTTGCTTGTTAATATTCTAGGGTGCCTTCAAGGTCCATCTCAGGTTCTTCCTCCTCCAAGAAGCCCTCCCTAACTACTCCAGATCATGCTGTCTTGTCTTTTCTGGAGTGCATTAAATCACTACCACTTCTGGGGATCATGGATGAGCAATTGGAGCTAGAATTCAAAGAAGTAGCTATTTCTAACAAATTGTATCTACAGCCAGACTCATGCCAATTAATTAATTCATTCACTGTTTCATCTCACGAACCCCTAAAAGAGCGTACACCACAGGTGGCCGCCTGGCCCTAAGCTTGCCACAGAGCAAGTGTGTAATAAAGACTTCTTAGAAGAAGGATGGATCACCCTGGTCTTGCAGGAGTGGTCTGCCTCCCTTTCAGCCGAGGGCACAGCAACTTCCTCCCTGGCAGGCAAGGTTCCTGCTCTGGGCTGCCAGCTCCCAGGCATCCTCTGCCAGCAGCTACTCCCTAGAGCTGCCCAGGGACTAAAGGCAGAAGGGGTGCCCAGCTCCAGCCCTGCCCACCATTTGTCCCCTATCAGAGAGGAAGAGAGGTCAGCAGGAAGCAGATCTGACCTCTGGGGTGGCCACAGTCTCTCCCAAGGGCTATAAGGGCCCCTGCACAGGCAGCAGAGGCCTGCAAAGGACTTCCCTTCCCTTCCCTAGGCCCCATGGAAGGGAGGCAGGAAGAAGGGCCTCAGCAGCAGGCGTCCAGTATGAGGCTGGCCAGACAGGGAGGCCCCTGGGGTTGCAGCTATCAGCCGGAGACCAGGCTCCAGGAAGGAAGGAAGGGCAACTCTGGCTGAGGCCGAGATAAGGAGGGGAACTGTGCTCAGTACAATGGGCTCCCACAAGGCTGGGAGGCCCCAAGTCAGATTTTGCCCCAACCTGGCCTCCTGTCTGCTCACACAGCCCATGTAAATATTTACTGATGTTTATATTCCTGGTCCGCTGGGTCCCCTCTGAGGCCTTTTCCTATGACCCACAGATCTGTGTGCTCCAGAGACCCTGGGCCCATCCAGCAAGGGCTAGGGGCATTGTTCTCTCTCATGCAAGCCCTTTAGAACAAAACTGCCCCCTCGTCCCGGCTCCGGGACACCGCTGTCAGGAAGCAGTACTAACCCCCTCTACGGGGGGGAAACTTACGGGGCCCGGTCGTGGGTGAGGCCGTTCTGCCGCTGAGGGTTGATTGGCGGAAGGACAGGTTTGCTGTTGATCTCAAGTCCTCTCCTCAGGGTCTCCCGGATCTGCTCTGTGTCTGAAACAACACCACTAAGTTGCATGATGGCCCTTGGGGCTCCCAGCATCCCCCAACTCTGCCCTTGGACCCTGGCTCTGCAGATGTGCTGGGGCAAGGCCCCCATGAAGGCTGGTCCTGAGGCCGCTTAAGGCATCAGCTGTGCGATCTGAGTGAACGCAGAGGGAGGACACAGGGCAGATGAGACACTTCGCTCTCAAGAAATTTTTGGTCTGAAGAGTGCCATTCTTGTAGAACACAAAGCGTGGCCTCCAGACTTCAGAAGGGCACCCTCCAAAGCAGGGCTCTTCTCCACTGTCCTTTCCCTTCCTCATCACAGGTCCTAGATTTACCCTTAACATAGCTCCAGTCAGTGAGTGACAAGGCCTTTGCCACTGCCCAAGACCACCCAGGGATTCTGTCCACGGAAATGGATGCCATTAGGGGCTACACATGCCCTGCCAGGAATGCGCAGATGCCTCTTACACAAGTTTCTGGGTTCTGGGTGGTCAGCTGGTATCTGTCTCTGTCAACTCTTCCCCTTGGGCTGGGTCAGTGAGATGCTGAGGTTGTCTGCCCACCTTGGTCCTATCCCAGGGAACTCTGCCTCTCCATGGGTCTGCCAGGGGCCAGGAGGTGAGAGAGGAGTCCCTTGGAGGGATTATTTCTTTGTGAGGTGCTTTGCTGGTCTTTGGGGTGAAGCTTACTAGTCTGGTCCCCTATATTGAGATTTTGGTCTAAGATTTACTTCCATAAACCACAAACACATACAAAAAAGCAAACTAACGGTGGTTGCTCAAAGGGTGGGCTTAGGGTAGATGATGGAGGTGATTATTAACTTTTCTAACTGTTTGACTTGTTACAGTGGCATGGATTACCTTTATAATTTTTAAAAAATAGCCAATAATGGTTCAAATTTTGGACGAAACTATGAATCCCTCCTTAAATTACCTCTTTTGTCAAAAGCAACTGAATGATTCTATTAACTGTATACTTTCTCTCAGAACCTCCCATGGGTTTGGCACACCATTAAAACAAGCAGGAAGGAAAGAAAGGGGTCAGATATTTGCACTAGGGGTTTAAGTTGTTCTTTACGGAAAAAGAAAAGCTTTTATAAATGCTATCACATGTGAGGTATTTTATTCAGGACTGTAGGTATCTTATTCTTCAAAAAATAAGAGAAGGTAGAGAAATAAAGAAAGGAAGTAGAAAAAGAAACTGTAAACACATGTATATGTAAATGGATGCTTTTCTATTGGAGTGAGTTAGGGATGCCCTTTGTTTTTCTTTGGCCAAGACCAGCATGGTGAGCTTCCAACAAGAGAGCCATACCCTCCTTCCCCAAGGCCCCACCCAGAATGCAGAGGATAAGGTACCCTGCCTATGGCCCCTTACACTGTATCTGCAGGACAGTGGGGTGGGGAAGTTTGCAAACTGGCCTTACGCTCAGGCCTCTCTTGTCTAAGGCCTGGAAAGGCCTGAGGCCAGAGTGATCCTCGGGTCTGGCATGGCTTTCAGGCTAGAGCTGGGCCCTGTGTCAATTCCGTGGGTGGCCGACGCTTGTTCTCTTGCACTTGGGTGGACTATGGCCTTTTCCTGTAACTGTTTTATGGCTTCCACTCACCTCTGTGACCTCAGATTGCAAGGGGCAAACCTAAAACACAATGCCTCTCCTGGTGGTGCATTTGAAATACACAGAGGAAACACGGGAGAAATGGGTCAATAGAGCTCCCTTAATTCCACCCTGCTGGGAGACTTCACTTGCTGTTTAAATCCTGCCAGGAAATAACCTATTGAATGGGCTGTTTTTGTTAGTGACCCATCCTAGAGAGCCCGAAAACCAGGCCTGGGGAAAGGGAAGGGGACAGCTCCTACCTTTGCCAGAAAGCCGCCGGGGCTGCGTGCCAATGCAGATGCTCCGGCTGTCCTCGTCATCCTCAGGGGGCCGACTCAGGTCATCCCAGGCACACTTGGCACTGACACCGCTCAGATTGGAGCCGTCCATCTCGATGCCTTTGTCAACTCTCTCCTGCTTGGAAAGAACCAAAGAGCCAGAGTTCCTTCAGCAAACCGGTGGCCCAAGGTCACCACCACCTTCCAGTATTTACTGAGCCCTTGTTAAGTGCTGAGCATGGGACAGGTGCTGGAAGAGCAGGATCTCTGATCTTACTCTACCTGGTTAGAGTGACCGTCTCGGCCACCAATGGACTCCTCCAGGGGAACCAGGAATTAGGGTAAGCTGGGAAGAAAGAAAATCCCAAGGAAGCTTCTCCTCTAGCATCAACCTTCCAGTAAAATGACCTTCACCCTTGTTTCAGAGCCCTGACTCTGCCCACCCCAGGCTGGCCTGTGAAGCTGATGTGGCAGAGCTGGGAACGACTTCCCTGAGGAAAGTCACAGGCCTTCCTCTCCTCACTGATCATCTAGGTAGAACCCGCCAGGCGATGCTACAGAGGCCAGGCTAGAAGCCTGCCACAGGCGGGAGAAGGCAGGACTCAGCCCAATTCCCGCCCCCCCCCCCCCCCCCCCCGACTCTACACCTGCAGTTCTCTCTTCTAACAGCAGAGGGTGTGGTCACGCGGTGAAGCGCCACCAGAGAGCAGAAGGGCAGGCTTTCCGCTAGCTGCATCGCTAACTTGTTTGGCAAAGGACTTTGGATGGAGTTTCTTTTCTACTTCTTAGACTGAAATGGCCTCGAGGGCAGTGACCATCTGCAGACCCCACCAGAGGCCCTGCCTTCATGCAGGTCTTGGCACTGTTGAATCCAAACACTCCCCAAATGGCCTCAAGGAAGAGTTGTACCCAAACATCCCTGGGATTTCTGGTAAAACTTACTTCTGTGATGGGCTCTGGATTAAAGGTCATCTGGAAGGCTCTTGCAACCTTGCTCATAAACAGCCATGTGGGCCAAATAAAGCTCCTGAGTGGGCACCTCCATAAGAGTCTGCACCTCCCTGTCTGCCTGACCTTCTCCCCATGGCTCCACAGGTCCAAACCAGCCTGCTACTTGGCTAGGGAGCCTATCTGGGGAAACACAGGGTAAGCTTACATAAGGTCCTTATTTCTTGAGACCCGTCAGCAAGTGGCCCTGCCCTGATGCCTCCTTCCCATCGATCACGCTCCCCTCCTTTCTAGTGCTACCACCAGCCTGGGCAAAGCTGAGGATTCTGAGCAGAGTCAGGGAGAGGCTGATGACAGGGAGCAGTGCTCTAGGCAGGAGCATGTGGGCTCTGGTTTGCTTGGGGTGGAGTCTGAGCTTCTCCCTCTCCACTGCTACCCTGAGGCCCCTCACCTAAGCAAAGAGCTAAGGACACTCTTGGCTCAACTAGTTCAGCTCACTTACTTTATAAGTGAAAAAGAAAGAGTTAAGATCCAGAGAAGTTGAAGGACTTGTTTAGGCATACAGCTGGCTAGTGGTGGAACTGGGAGCAAAGGAACAGGAGCCTGCTCTAAAACGAACAGCCTGCAAGCAGGCCCCAGAAAGGCACAAGAGAGAGTAGAGGAGTTCCCACTTGGTGCACAGAGCCACCAGGAAAGAAAGCTGAACTTTCTCACCAAGGCCCCTTGCTTGCTTTTAAAGACCACTAGGTGCTCTGGGTTCTACTGGCTGGTCTCAGGGGAGGCTGATGACGAGGGAGGAAACTGTTCTTGGCATGCAGGGAAAGGACAGGCTTCTTACCCTACCAGCTCAAAGGATCGGGTTCTTTCTTAGTACTTGGCACTTACAACAGGGGCCAAACAGCAGCCCACAGTGCCCCATGCTGGATCCCAGTGTGGCTGCAGAACAAGGGCTATGGAAACATAGCCTTCGTGGTTCCTGGTTCTTGCATAAGCAGAAGCTACAAGGAAACCAAGTTTAAAGTAGAGGTAACAGGATCCTGGCAGCAATTTGAAAACTTCAGTGTTAAATGCACTAGGAAAATAGAGGAGCATCATCTGTGAATGAGTACAGTTTCTGTCCAAGAACTCACAGGTCTGCAGTCAAGAACCCAAGGACTGCTGGCTCCATATCCACTTGCTACCTCTCCCCTGCCATCTCTTATTCCTCCTAAAGGACACGTAACTCCTGGGAGCTGCCTGTAGCCCACCAGATTTCTACAGAGGCATAAAAGGTTCAGAGACGGCAATGACCTGCAGTTGGCAGGGGGAAAGTAGAAGGAGGCAGACACATGCCAGCCACATTATTAGCTGTCTGCTGTTCCTGCTTTGTGAGCAGCTGGAAGAAAGAATGTTATGCTCTACGTGGCTTTCAAAATTCACCTGCACACAAAAAGAGTGCTGCTTCTAAAAAAACCCAAAGATGACACTGAAATCCTGTACAGGTGGGCCACAGTGAGTGGGCAACTGCAGGCATGTGTATATAAAGACTTCCTTTTACATATCAAGAATGTCAACTTACCCAGGGGAGGAGCCCAGTGTTTGACTGCCCAAGATGAAAAAATGTACCTAAAAGGGGGATGGGATCATTAGACCAATCAGCGTCACCCCTGCAGCCGGGCTGTGGGGTCAATATCATCTATTCTCCTATCTGTTACAGGATGGTGGTGGCGGTGAGGTGGCTCCCTGAAAGAAAGTCTGTGTTCTTCTAAGAAAATGTGGGAGGATGAATACTGGGCAAGCAATATCCACTATCTTGATTTTCTTTTGTTGTTGGTGATCTTATTTTTTAAAGTCAGGTTTATTGATGTATAATTTGCATACAATAAAATTAATCCTTTTTAAATGCAAAAATAAATATGTCTGAGACAAGCTTTCCTGGCCTGAAATCTCTGCTCTCTTATGTGCTCTGCAGAATTCAGGGGACAAGTTCCAAATCATGCCATATTTCTACTCACTCACAAATAAAGCTCCTCCGTTTTCCCAGGATGAAAGCCAGTGTTATTTGGAAGAGGCCTAGGCACAGTGGGCTAGAAAGGTTTTCCTCACTCAAGACATACTTGCAGGTGTGGATCGATCTCAAATATGGTCTCTCCCCTCCGCATGTCAGTTATCAGCCAGGGGCCGCCAGCGCTGTGGACAAGGAAAGGGGACAGGATGGTAACTGAGGGTCTGGGGCTGAGGGCTGGGCGTATAGCCTGCCCTGTTTGTTGTCCCAGGCCTAGAACACAGGGGAGTGGTCAGCAGTCAGGAACCACCAGGGAGAGTCATCAGGAAGCCCTGATGTGAAAAAACCAGCGCCTGAACAACAGTGTAAGGGGGATCCCACATGCGAGGGGAAGGAGGGACTCTCACCCCCAGTCCTAGGGAGCCAGGCCCCCACCTCGTAGGGCAGGGGTATACTCACACGGGCACTGTCCGCAGCAGCTCCAGGATGCCCTGCCCATTCCACTGCTGAGCTGCATGGAGCTCCTCGGTGCAGACACCAACAATCTGAGACCCGGAGACAAGATGCCATTGTGCATTAATGGCCATTCCTCCCACCCATCCAGAAAGTCAGCCACCCAGGCTCTCTCAGTGTCACTTAAGTGGCGGGACTACAGGCAGGATCTATTCTCAAAGGCTGGTGTGTCCCAAATGGGATGGTTCCCTTAGGAGGGAATAGCTGCCTGGCAAGGAGATGGATGAGTCCACAGATGGGGCACTGAGGCCTGACCCTTGCTCTGCTGTGACGGGTCGGGTGTCTGGGTGACACAAAGTTGAGCTCTAGACTGCAGAGGAGAAAAATCAGGGCCCTGCCAACTCAGGGTGGGGCCCCAGCCCCTGTCTCTGGAAGCAGGGGAGGTGCAGGGGGATGTTCCTGCCCAGTCTAGGACCACAGGGAATGTAAACAAGAGATTTCAAGACCCTTCAAGCTCAGAACAACGACCAAAGGGCCCCAGCAGCTTGCAGAGAAGCTCCCTTCCTTATCAGGGGCTGAGCCTTTGAGTAAATCTCAAGAGAAACAACTGAACCTGCACAGACCCCATCATGACCACTTCAAGCCCAGCTGCAGCCAGGGTAGATGCACACCCCTCCTGGTAAGGGCAAGTCCAGCCCCAAGCTGCCCTCCTGCTGGGAGCTCCTATGCCTGTGGCTGTCTCCGTCTTCACTAGTTCACAGAAGTACCCTCCCTGTTGTCCCTCTCAGCTACAGCTGTTCTCTCCTACCCAAATGGCCCTTTCTCCTTCCCCTCCCTTTTCCCCTTCCCCTTCCCCCTTCTCCCATCTCAGCAGGTTAAATCAGACCATCTGAATCTACCTGAAAAACCATCAGAGGGAAGGGAAAACGGAAGAAGATCAAAGGAAATCTCCTATTCCCTTCACTCCCTCTACCCAAGCCTCCTGTCTCCCAGGACTTTTTCCACAGGGAAGGCTCGAGCCCATGTCCAACCTGTGCCTCACCTGGAGGAAGCTAACTACCCCAAACGGTGTCTGCACGGGTTGCATCTGCGGATCCTCTGTCAGCAGCATGTGCTGAATTCTCGACTCACTGTTATCCAAAGGGCTGTGCCAAGACACGTGGTCCCCGCTGCAGAAGGTGTTCTCTGTGGGAGAGACATGAGGGCCCTCAGCGTTTGAGGCCCTGCATCCAGGCCTAGAACCTGACCTGAGATCTGAGAAGCCCAGGTTGAGAGGCTCACCAGCCTTCCAAGGTAGCCCCTGTGAAGGAGGGGAAGCATTCACTTGAATGGTAGCAAAGAGTGTGGATATTTCCCCACTGTTCCTGCTTGCCAGTTCTGCCAGCCTTCAGTAGAAAGGGACAGGCTGCTAGTGTGGATGCTCACTCGGCCTGTAAGTCCAAAGACTTCTGGTACCTTCCCTTCTTTGGAGGGGGGCAGGCAGCCATGATCAGGTCTGCCAAGAAAGAATGAAGTGCTTTACTGAGGGGCCACCTGGTCAGAAGTCCTCGGGGAGGCTGGAGGGCAGTGAAAACCCTTCACCTTGGAAACACAGACCAGGATTTCTGTGCTGCTGAAACAGTGTTCGAAAGGGAACTGCTAACCCTGGAAGGCCTTTGAGATTTGTCACCGGTTTCCCACAGGTAGATAAATACAGGGATTTCTGAGGAATGCTGGAGGCTTCAAGTAAATGGAGGTCTGGATCGTGCCTCACACACCTCAGCAGAGATGGATAGTCTGCAGGGGCAGCTGTTTCCATGAGGACACAGATGTTGTGCTCAGGCTGCCCAAGAGAAACGTGCAAACACAGCCACCTCACAGCCTCACCATTGTACTTCACACAGGCTTCTTAACTTAAAAAAAAAATGTGTTTAAGGTAGCGTAAGCACAAGGAAAAAAACACTCCCATGGCATGAAGTCTCCCATGACCCGACTCTGATCTTGGGTGCTCTGCATGTACCAGCCTATATGCATTTATAGGTTCTCTCCATTTTCTTCCTTCTAATATAAATGGCAACACACTGTTTTGCACATTTCACTTAATTATATATCCTGGAGATCATTTCATATCAGCACATAGAAAACTACCTCATTCTTTAAATGGCTATATGGTAGTTCATTGTGGTCTATCAATTACAATCTGAGAATCTCAACAGCTGAGGTCCCTTCCCTTTTTATCAATGTTTAAGGCAAGGCAGAACATGAACACACACACACACACACACACACACACACACACACACACCAGCCTGAAGGCTCCCAGGAAGGCCTGAGAAAGCTTCTGCTCTTACTTGTCTTGGTTTGAATACTAACTCCTAACTCCTTCCTGTGTCAGGTGAAGTTATACAGCCAACTTTTACATCCAAGAGACAGGCTAACCTCAAAAGCATTCACTCAGGAGGGAGAAGGAAGACTGCTTCCGCTAAGAGATATGGGCTAGTAAAGGGGAGAGAAGGCATAGCTCCAGTCAGAGCCAACCAGAAACCCCCAAATTTCCCAATTCCTGCTGGGCCCACTCATCTCAGATTCCCTCTTCTTTTACAGAAATGTGTGTCTACAAGCAGTTTGCATGATATACAAGTAAGAAACAATGCAACAAGTAAAAAGATTGAGTTAGTAATTAAAAGCCCCTCCCACACATAAAAGTCCAGGCCCAGATGGCTTCAATGGTAAATTCTATCAAACATTTAGAAAAGAATTAATACCAATTCTTCACAAACTCTTCCAAAAAATAAAAGAAGAGGTACCACTTCCCAATTCATTTTATGAAGTCAATATTACCCTGATACCAAAATCAGACAAAGGCCTTACAAGAAAATAAAGCCATAGACCAATATCGCTTATTTGTACAGACACAAAAATCCTCAACAAAATACTAGCAAACCAACAAAGCAACATATAAAAAGCGTTTACACAATGACCAAGTGGGATTTACCCCCAAATGTAAGGTTGGTTTAACATTAAAAAAAAATCAATTTAATATAATATATCAATAGAATACAGGTAAAAAAAAACACATGATCATCTCAACAGACAGAAAAATCATTTGGCAAAATCCAGTACTCTTTCATGATAAAAATATTCAAACTAGGAATAGATGGGAAAGTCTTCAACCTGTTAGAGGGCATCTACAAAAACCCTACAGCTAACATCATACTTGATGGTAAAAGAAAGGATTAATTCCCCCTAAGATCAGGAACAAGAGAGAGGTGCCCACTCTCACCACTTCTATTCAACATTGTATTAGAGGTTCTAACCCGGGCAATTAGGCAAGAAATACAAATCTAGATAGATTGGAAAGTAAATAAAATTATCCCTATTTGCAGATGACATGATTTTGTACATAGAAACTCTAAGGAATCCACTAAAAACACTATCCGAATAAACAAGTTCAGCAAGGTTGCAGGGTATAAGAGCAATATACAAAAACCACTTGTATTTCTATACACTAGCAGTGAACAATCTGAAAATGATATTAAGAAAACAATTCCATTTATAATAGAATAAAAAAGAATACAATACTTAGGAATAAATTTAACAAAAGAAATGTAAAACTTGTACTCTGAAGACTATAAACATTGTTGAAAGAAATTAGAGAAGACCTACATAAATGGAAAGATATCCAATGATCATGGATCAAAAGACTTAATATTGTCAAGGTGGCAATATTCCCCAAATTGATCTACAGATTCAATGCAATCCCTATCAAAATGTCAGATGCCTTTTTTGCAGAAATCCACAAGCTGATCTTAGAATTCATATGAAAATGCACGGGACCCAGAAGAGCCAACACAATATTGAAAAAGACCAACAAAGTTGAAAGACTTAATTTTCCGATTTCAAAACTTACTGCAAAGCTACAGTTACCAAGACAGTGTGGTACTGGCACAAGGATAGACTTTTGATCAATGTTAACAGAATTTAGAGTCCACAAATAAACCCTCATATTTATGGCCAATTAATTTTCAACAAGAGTGCCAAGACAATTCAATATAGGCAAGAATAGTCTTTTTAGCAAATGGTGCTGGAACTGGATAGTCACATACAAAAGAATCAAGTTGGATCTCTTCCTTACACCGTAAGCAAAAATTAATTCAAAATGGATCACAAACTTAACTGTAATAGTCAAAACTCTAAAACTCTTAGAAGAAACATAAGAGTAAATCTTCTGACCTTGGATTAGGCAAGTTTTTAGACAAACACCAAAAGCACAAGCAACAAAGGATAGATAAACTGGACTTCATTAAAATAAAAACCTGTTGTGCTACAAATAGTACCATCAAGAAAGTGAAAAGAAATGCACAGTGCAACATTTCCCAAACTTTTGAGTCATCCATAACACCTGTCAGGATTTTCGACATATCTGTGTGCCACCTGTATCATTACCCACCTGTATTTTTCCCCCTAAAATTGACTCACTTTTTTAACCTAAACTTATTTTAAAAGGAAACTTAATATCACTATACTAAATAAGGAAAATAAAGGGAAAAAATCAGTGTTGCTTACCATAAAGAGAAAGATAACTTTATAACTTCGAAATAATTCAATGAAAACAAAATATTATGAATTTATAATTGATACTGTTGCCTACCTACCTTTGTTAAAAACTGAAATGAACAAGGGATAAAGAACTGTTAGAGGTTTAAAAAGTCATATCAAATTGACAAAACCAGCAGGATTGAATTAGAGAACTGAAAGGGGAAGAGAGTCGTCACTAATCATTTTATTTAATGTCTTGTCCAGTTACCACCTAAAATCTCCTCTGGCTTTGGTAAACACTGACAGACTGGTTAACTTTGCAGTTGGGAAGGCCCCGCTCCTATCCGCCTCTGCCCCTTACTAGTTGTGACCCTGGGTAACTTGCCCAATCACAATTTCTAAGCTTGCTTCCTCATCTGTAAGCAGGAAACAGTGTGCCTACTCAGCGTGCTTTCCACTGCTGCACGTTATTATTCCTGTACTGGAATACAGTACAGCTACTCTAGTCCCTTTACCAGAAAAGAGGATCGGCCACAGAGCCTGTAGTTAATAGTAAGTGCCAGTAGGTGGCACCATTGCTCATGGTTTAAGAAAGAGCTGGGCCAGTTCCCTCCAGTGCCCCTGTCTAGCTGATGTCCAGTCTGTAGAAATATATACCCCAAACCTGACAGGGATTTAGGCTGGAAAGGTTTGGAGTCATGATCTTTTATTAACCAGAATTGACAATGATTTAAAAATAATCTTGTGCAAACCCAAACTGTTTAAATAAGAATGAACAAAAGGTATTTTGTAGATTTAATTTGGGAAGGGGCTTAATTTAGGCAGCTGGGAGGGGAGACTCTAGGGCAGGCAAGGGAGACAGATCAGTCGCTGCTCCAGGACCAACATACTCCATCCCAAGCGTGCGTGATCAAGAGGGAGTTAAAGAGGGGAGGGGGAGGAGAAGGCATAACCACCCACAGAAAGGTTTTGAGAGCACGATGCTAACAATCTTCCAGCCTGCGGCAGGGTCTTTCTTCCCCAGCCGTGTCTGGTGGGGGAACCGGACTTATTAGCTCTGCTGTGGCCGAGAATCAGTCTTTCTTAACAAAGAAAGAGCCTTGGTCACAGTTTTCAAGCCTAGGACAAAGCCACAATGGGCTCATTCTCAAGTCTGGTCTGGTCTTTATGCCCTGGATGCTCGGCCCCATTCTGTGTGGAGCCACCGCAGGTCTCAGCACTCAGGCCCCAGCGCCCACCCCAGGAAGCTCTCAGCCCCTTCAGAGGGGTTTTCAAATGCTAATGCCTCGGTCAGAGGCCCAGCTGTTCAGTCGAGAGGTTAGAGGAGCTGGCTCCCTGTCCCTTCCTCTCTCTGGATCCCTGATGTGTCCCTACCAGGATATTAGGATGCTAATCCCTGGGACACCCACCCAAACCACACAGCAGAGGGGCCACCTGGGGTCTGAAGGCAGGCCATTCCAGGTGAGGCCTGAATGCTCACTTTCCATTCCCTTCCCTCTTCCTCTGGGCTCTGCCTCCAGGTACCATGAGAAACCTCCCTCAGCTGCTGCCTGTCTGGCAAATTCATTGGAGGGGAAAGACCTCTCCAGGCAGCAAAAAGAGTCCAAACACTGCCAGGTACAGTTCTGCCCCTTGCTTAGTTGAGAGAAAGGTTTCATTACTCTATG